AACAGGGTTTCGTCAGGTTCTTCAGGATAAAATTCCGGATTGTCGTCATCACGAGGTTTGCCACCCACCGCAAGGTCGATAGGTTCGCTAGGTAGTTCGGCCGTCGCTTTCAGCGTTGACGCCAGGGACGTCGTCGCGGTTGCACTTCCCACCCCCTGCACCGGGGTACTCGTTGCACCCATCTCTTCTGGCCAATTATTTACCTGCCGATCCCGCGCTTCCTTCATTGCCGAAAGCCCTGTGGGATCGCTTTTAAATGAGATAGCCCTCGAGGCCGCTGAGATCGACGAAAGCAGTGGTGTGCATGTGGCCACCGTAGATGCCTCGCTGATTCCCTTAGCAGGATTGTGTGTAGCGCTTTTGTTGAACCAATCCGTATATAGTACCGCTTTAACTCGCTTTATCACTTTTGCCTTACCGCTTTTGATTCTGCTATTCCATCTCTTTCCTTGCGTCTTATTTAGCCTTGTGATCAGTGGCTGGCTCTCCAAATCGGGAGCAATTCTGGTGCCATGCCGCATCCTGTACCAAACCCTTTTTGTTATTTGCCACCCGTTGAGCTTTACCGTTGTTTTCGGCTCGGCCGGTGGAATGGAAATCTCCGATGTGTGGTTGCATACAACTTTTGAACTAGCAGCATCGATCGATACAGCACCGGCACTGGGCGGGCGGAATTGTGCGTCCGAGCCAGTTTGACATTCGACCGTCTCATCTTGCATGGCAGCTGCATTAGGCAACGCCGGTCGGATCGAAATCTCCGATCTATGGCTGCACGCACTTTTTGAACTAGCAGGATCGCTCAATGAAGAGTAAATACTTGGCGTGTCGAATTCTGCGTCCGAGCCAGTTTGACATTCGACCGTCTCATTTTGCATGGCAGCTGCATTAGGCAACGCCAGTCGGATCGAAATCTCCGATCTATGGCTGCACGCACTTTTTGAACTAGGAGCACCGATCGATAAAGATCCGAGACTAGGCGGGCGGAATTGTGCATCCGAGCCAGTTTGACAATCTACCACCCCATTTTGCATGGCATCCCCGTTGTATCGAAATGCTTCGTAAATTTCGCAGTCGAGTACTTTGACGTTCTCCAATCCTTGGGGTTTTTGCGCCTGCTCACTGCCACTGGTGACGGGCTTGAAGCCGACGTGGGAGCAGTACGGTTCCTAGTTTGAGATAAGCAAGGCCCAGGTGTCGCAAATTACCTTCTTGACAATTTCACCAAGACACGTGGCTAGTTGCTCGGCTTTCGGGCGAATCTCGACGTGTTGCGTACAACTGGAAGAAATATTTGAGATTTGACCGGCTGGATTAGGAAATCCTAAAGCAGATCCTATAGTAAGCTAATGATAATTAAGTAGAAGTATGCAAAAGGAGCCAGTGCAGCTTAATTCCCAACTTAAGCGTCATCCTAGCAAGTTTTACAAACGTAGAGAGTCCCCCAATAAAAAACACCCCTCTAACTCGACGCAGAAGGATCGCATCGGAATGATAGTTATACCATTCGAAAGCCCTTGAAGCGGCAAGTTTGTAACCATCTTCAAAATCAGGTTTTTATTTAACCCCGATATTTTACAAGCCATTTTGTAGCAATTAACTGCTTTTTGGGGGCCGCCTACGAGCTAATTTGCCTCAATTTCCCCAAACAAAATGACCGGAAGTAGCCATTAGTTCCTTAAGGTTTGAAATGTGCTCTAAAATGGCTCGTTTAAATGAAAACATGGTTTTGAAAATGCTTTCATACTCGCCCTTTGAAGGGCTCTCGAATGGTATAACCATCGTTACGCTTCAAACTTACTGCGTCGAGTTAGAGGGGCGTGGTTCCTTTTATTCGACATCCCGTAGTTCCAACCCCCTTTCGGCCTTGAAACCACATTCGCCATTTGGCACCGCCAGCAATGCAAGCCAGAAGCGAGCCGATCGATAAACGGATCGATATTGGGCGGGTAGCCTCATGAGAGGGCTGGTGTTTTGCGCGTATCTGCGTTTAGCCAGTCTTATCAGTTTACCCGTGGCCGGGTTTACTGGATAACTCTACGCATCCATAACTCAAGGAAGCTTTCCTATGTTTCGAACCGTCGGTAACACGTTGGCCCGCTGCATGCTACTTTAACATACCTGTTGATGATGCCGACAATAAAGTGTTCACCAATGGGCTGCGGCAAGGTCCATTGACCAGCGTTGTGAAACTGACATAGCTGGTCCGTACGCAGATTGCAAAGAAATCGCCTGAAATTGGATCCATCTCATTTTTTATATTTCCAGAACTAGCCCGGAACGATCACTTACTGGCGTGTCACCAGTTCCCAAAAAGCCACAGCCAAGCCCCAAATGTCGGATGCAAAGTCTGGCTGCAATTTTGAGAATTTTTTAGGGCTTCTCGGCTATCGGAAATAAACACAACGACTCACGGTGTACTCCGCGAACACTCGAGGATCCAAACACCTCTTGGTACCCCTCATCACTTCCTCCCCGACATTATTTTGAAACATGGAGACGTCGAAATCGCCAAGTTTCACGATTCCGTTAGCGTCCACGAAGGTGCTAAAATTATGCAGTCTCCTGGCATAAATTTTGCAAAGCACTTATCGAGTTTAGGGTCTGCGTATATTATTCCCAATCTATGCAAATGGCGGAGCCCAGTAATCATATGCATGGCAGCGACGACAACGTCAACATCGGAATACGACAGCTTCGGGTTTTTTCTGACTAAAATCAATTCATTAGCGCATTTCTACATTGATTTTATGAGTTATGAGCTACCAACTTTCCTCCAAAGTATATGGCATATATGGGAAGCGCAGGATCCCAAAGTTCCATCCATCCTTTCCTTCGGTGCGTATCCAATCGGCCACTAGCAGATGCACACAGACAGATATTTTCAAGGCTTCGTTGACCAGGCATTCACGGTTGAAATGTCTCTCCGGAGGCGAATCGCAACCAGGGCGAAAAGGGTACACCTTACGTACGCCGAAACTGGATAATTTAAGATATTGAGCAGGGCACAAGAGACATACCTGCCGGCATTGATTAGCACATCAACGTGCGCATGTTTGATTGTCTTGGTGTCGCTTGGCACATCGAACGGGTAGCAGGGTGGCTTCGTCGAGTCAGCTGCCTCAGCGGCCTTCAACGTTGCGTCATCATCCATGTCAAATCGCCATCAAGCAAGTCTTACAGCCACGTTGAGTAGCCCAGCTATGAAAATCTGTTTATCAGTTGTTACTACCGCCTTTTCGTGACGCTGAAAAACCAAAAGCTATAGTGCAACAGGGACTGCTGCTGGCATCGTGTCCAATCTGGAAAGCTGTTTACCCAAAATCAATCGGTTTTTGATTTTTATACGTATGTTATCTAACGAACGGGCGCCAACCCCAATTTATAAGAAGCTACGGCTGTTGAGCAACGTGGAATCGATCGACTCGGTCGCCAAATCGCTTCTAGTCTTCGGCGGTCCACGTGTCAGGCACCTGCTCTTCGTGTCAGCACTCCCATACGCAGTTCTCTTGAGACGAGCTAATTCACATCCTGCAGCGATCTGGATACCTACTTCTTTACTATCGAAAATTGGGATCGCAATAAAATTTACCGAAATAGCATACCGAAAAGTTTCGCGTTGGGCCGTCCGGCCTCGCTCCGATTTTTTTTATTGCAATTTCTGGGACAATCCATGCTTATGTCTGTTCTGCACAAGAAAGTAATTTTTCGAAATGGGACGAATTTGGTGTTAATATTTTATCCTGATTTTTTGTGTTTGAAAAAATTTCAAACGCTTTTAGCCCAAGCAGCTTTATTCTGCATTGCAATATAAAATATATTTCAAGACAAGAAGCAAATAATGATAGGTTGGATACATAAATAGGTAAACACGATTGGATGTATAAACGGATACAGAAAACTACATTTTCAGGCCGCCTAGAAATTGTATGTCAAGACCGAAAGCAATAAGTCTTATTTGAGGGCAAAGGCTACAGGGTATCCCAAAAAATCCGCACCCCTCTAGCGGACCGCGGAAGTTTCCGATTTTGACGATTTCCTGGGGAAGCCTTCCAACTCGGCAGCGAATTTTATCGTGTTAGATGCGTCAATCGACGTGCTTCGAGGAGTCGATTACGAATATGTACCAAAACAAAACAAGGGGAGGCCGACAGGGGAAAAGGTTATGCGGCTTCAAAGCCCGCAAAATGCGCAAAAAAAAAGTTACGGGCTTGTACGATTCGAGAAACAACATTTAGAAAGTTAGAAAAGTTAGAAAATTTAGAATAGAAAAAGTTAAATAGTGCATCTTCTTCAGCATAAAATGCGCTTATGAATGAGCTATAAAACATAAGGTTTATGGGAATTTGGCGGATACCTTACCGACAACCAGGCCATACATAACCGTGCCCTTGCAATCGAACTAAAAAAAATATTTTTTTTTGTTTAGCGTTACGAAGTTCGGTGCCTCGTTGCGTGGCTTCCCTGGTAAGCAGCAGCGGGCGGGATAGTTGGCTTCATAAAATTTTTTCCGGCCAACCAACAGGTTAAATTCGCATAAAGCGGGCAAAGCGGGCATAAAATGCCAACTTCTCCCTGGTATTTATTCGTTCATATTAAATCAACCATAAATTGACCCAGAATCGGTGGTGGCGTAACTACTCGGGCTCACTCAATTTCCATCCACGCTACCTTGAGGACTTACTTCGATGCCAAGGACTGTGCCAACCGGAAACGTTTTTTTTTCAGCGCGGCAGCACCACCCGTATCTTTGAGAAGCTGTCTAGCTCTGCTTCTAACTGCCCTAACCACACTCTTTGCGCCAAAGAGCCGAGATTGTGTGGGGTATACTTAATGCTCAATGAACCCATGCTTGAATGGCTTTTTTGTGTTCGCGCCGAACCGCCTTCACCTCCATGTGGTGTGCACCCCAGGTTTATGATTATTTAGGTTTTATTACAAGTCCATTTGTCCGATATATTTATTCGTTAGTAAGGCGTATTTGTTAATATTCAGGCTGTTTACAAATGCGCTGGTTTTCCAATCCCGGAAACTAATGATTTGTCAGCTCCACAGATGATCGCCAGATCTACCACCGTCTTGACCGCCTGATCAATCAATGACTCACAGCAGCACCCATCCTGCGCATTCACGGCCTGATGCGCCGGAATTCCGAGTTTGTTCAAACGAAATTGATATATCACGGCCTGTTTAACCATCCGGAATATTGTGACCTCCCATGTACGCTCATCCGGCTTCTTGTTTCCCATTTCCTTCCCGGGCTTTAATATCTTTTCCATGCTGCCAAAAGCTTTGAGTAGCATTTTGAGTGCGGCATCTTCTTCTGCCGTCAGGTCACCCGAGGAGTACACTTTCACTGTTTCCGTGACCAACGATTTAAGCACGCTGAAGATTAGCTTTGGCTTTCCGAGTTTGGCAAGCCAATTTTTCAGGAAGTGCGCCCGTCTGGCCATGAATGTCACCAGTTCTTCCCAAGATTTTGAATGAGGCTCGTTGATTGTTTGATATTCACGATTGAAACTTGTTACGGCCTGGTTGTAGAGATCGATAATCCCATTATCCGATGGCTTTTGTTTACCGGAAAGGATCATGTCGGCTTCAGCATTGACCGTTTTAGCATCCGGGCACATGGCCGACTTATCGTTCATCGGTTGTTTCAGCTGGGTAAGCATGACTAGCGTTCGGATAAAGCGCACCAATGATTCGTCTAAGGTGCCCTTCGGTTGTGCATACGGCGTGTTGAATTCTTGTCCTCCATTAGCGGTTGTCTCCTGTTGTGTCCTCACAAGCGTCAACGTACTGGGCTGCTCCGATTCGGAGAAGCTAGATTTCCGCGCTTCACAATTGTTCGCTATCTGGCCGACGAGTGCATCCAAGACCGAGAACATGTCATCCATATTACCTATTTGCTTCTTGGGTGGTGATCCTGCAGTTAATTGGCGTAAAACATTCCCTACGCTATTCGGTATTGCGTCTTGTTCTCCCAGAGGAAATGCGTGCTCCAGTCTTGAGGTCATAAGATCGAAAACCTGTTTGGCGTACTCTAACCGCCCGGGATCGTTCGCAGGGGTTTTCAACGAGTGCACCCGCGAGTTTATAAAGCTCATCACCGGCCCAAAGATTCCATCAGGAGCATTATTCATTTGGCTCGCATGTTGCACGCCTTTTTCGGCGTCACTAAGGTCTGTTTCGTCATTCGACCAGTTGCCCTGCTCGCTCGAAGAAAGAGTCCGTTTTTCCGATTCCTTCAATCCTCTGGCCATGGGATTCAACTGCATGCTGTCCAGCGTGGAATTTCCTGGTCCCAGTCGAAATAGCGAAAAGATTTCTTTGGCAGACTCAAAGTACTGCTGCCCTTCCGAGCCCACGTAAGGTTCCCCTTTTAATTCGTATGCGACTTTCAATGAATCCTCCATCCATTCCACAAGGATTTCTCCGAAATTCGAGTAGCGGTCGGAATTTTCGACCAAAGCGAATAGCGTGTCGGCGACACTTTTCTTCGGCGCGTGCAGGTCGCGGGAGCAATTTTCCACCTCCTGGATAAAGATGTTTAATCGCCCGAAGAGCCAACGCAAAAACTCTACGGGGAATTCTGTCGTACTCTGAGTGGTGTTTGCCAACGCATCTGTTGGCTTTCCAATTGGTTCTGAAACATTGCTTTCCACGCTGGATTCTTTTGGTAGCGCTCGAGACGTCGTCGGGAAAATTGCGTCACCGAAAAGGGGTAAACGAGCATCAGACACCTTGCTAGAGGCGTCAGTACGACAACTAGACTTCACGGACCTGTCTGTAATGGCTTCCTCTTTGTTAGCGACATTGTGATCTTGCGTATCTGTCGCTAGGGCCCGCCGAGATTCACGGTCAAAACCATCGCTCAGATCGGTCGAACATGGTGCCGGATCGTGACCGCCGGCAGAACAATTTTCGGAGCCCAAGTTGAGCCAGTCAGCCTCTCCCACCTCCCCCGTAAATGCGTCCGTTCGAAGTTGGCATTCGACAGCATCATTGTATGCGTTTTCGTTCGCACCTACAAAGACGCTGTACGTGTCCGAATCGCGAATTTCGATGCAATCAAGTCCGATCGGAAGCTGGAGCTCGTCGGTTGCGATGATGTCGATTTGAAACGCGGGCTTGAAGAGGCTCGGATCCTAAAAAATAGAAGGTAAGGTTCCGATGACCCAGTACCATGATTGTCTCCCGAATCAATAGCTCGAGCATCTCCTTTGAATTCATGCGTAAAGTTGGAGTCGCAGAACACCTAAACGGAGACTTTTCGCGGAAACTAGTTGTAAGCTAGACTAATGAGAAAGTATACTAAATTTTACCGCTGTACAGCTATAATACCGTAGAATAAACATCCGCTTACATGCGAAGGAAGTCGATGAGGAAGCTCTGCCCCCAGAGTGCGGGGATCTTCCATACACCGCGTCGGTAAGCCTTCAGTCGCTCAATTGTGCCCATCTCGAAGCGAAATTGCCTATAAATAAGCAGTGCTATAGAAACCGGCCGGTCCCCCAAATTATTGATCAGTAAATGAAAATTTGTACCCACCTCCTCGTTATCAGCCCCAATACAGTAAGCGCAAAACCCCAAAGGTCTCCCGCGAAGTCCACCTGAAAGTAAACCTAGGTCATGCTTCTTACGGGACTGGGTTTAAAAAAAGCTTCAATGGCTACGTTCAAATGAGTACTAAAAATTCCGCAAAAATGAAATTAAAATTATACCTTGCCTTCGGCCAGAGCATGCGGATCCACGTACAATCGCGTGCCGAGCACGTCGTTATCGTGTACCCACCCTTGGGCCACCGAGACGTTGAAATCACCGATCTTAACGATGCCTCCGCCATCCAAAAAAATGCTGAAAGCCCTCATTTTTGTTTTGTAATAGAGCCAACTTTGCAGGTTTTATATCGCAATGAATAATGCGCAACTCGTGCAGGTGTGCCAATCCAGTAAGAATGTGTCGCGCAGCGGTTACCACATCGGCCTCCGAGTAGAGAATACTCTTGTCATCACGAACTAAAAATGGCAATATTCGTGCTCACTGTAAGCGTTGAACGCTTTGCTAACTCGAACCTTCACCCGAAGCCGTTAAGTAAAATTCTTGATAGTTTATTTCACCTAAACCCCCTTCCCCTATTCTAAACTACCGTCAGTAGTAACTTTTAATTTACAGCTAAAAGCTACTCCTCACCTTCATCCATGGTGTACTGCATATAGGGAAAGCTCATAGAGCCAAGAACCCAGCCGCCAGGGCGCTCGTCGATTTGTAAAGAATCGGACACAATCGACACTATGTGAAGGTTCGGGAAAAATTCGAGGATCCCATGGATAAGCATCTCGCGTCGAAAGCAACGTCCTCCTGCATCCACGGAGGGCGCAGTTTTTCGGAATCGATGGACCTTCCGCACGCCAAGTCTGCAACGAAAGGCCTGTTTTTTGATTTGCTAACATAATGACGAAATGTTATAATTTCGAAATTCACATTGTCCAAATTTCATAATGCCAAAATTCTTAATTTTTTGCATAGGTACCCTATCCCGAAGGCTGGTTGATGCCAGCCCAATAACAGTAAAATTTTGTCATTATCACAACCCGACGTTTTTAGTTTCAAAATTTTAAATAGCGTAGAAACTGGAAATAACGGAAAATATTAGTTATTTTTTGGTGGTAGGACTTACCTTTCAGGGTCAATGAAGATCCCAACGTGATCCTGGCGAATTGCCCTTGCGTCCCGGGGAAAGTCCGGGGGATCGTATGAAGGTGGATCGGAGTTCATGTCTTTTTCGAATCGACGGGGACTAATATGCAGCTGTCTTCTGAAATGAGCTGTTGGTAGACTTATACCTGAAAAGGATTCGTCGCCCACAATGCGTTGCGCAATTCTTTGCGCAAGCTCTTCAAGATGTTCGAAACTATAGAACAGCGAGAAAAGTTCGCTCATTTGACTGGGTTTCGGGTTAATCGTCATTACTTGTACAAGTGTTTCCAAAAAAGGTTACATCATTAAAAAGTCAGTAAAGTAAATTGTTGGGCGCTATCAACAAACGACGCTTCAACAGGTTCTGGGTTTAGGATGCCAGACCCGGTATGCGACTTATCAGTAGCTAGGGCGCCCTTATGTAAGCCTTTCCCGACCGCCTTTCGAAAAGCCCGATGAATAATCCATCTTCTGTCGGAAATCAACTAAAATATTGCATTGAAAAATAGGAATATCCGGGCAGCACAGAGCAAAATCCCATTTTTTGAAATTGGCGTTAGGGATTCCCATACAGGATTTCGAAAATCACTATTTCGAAAAATCAACCTTTGGAAATTTACATTTCGAATATCATCATTTCGAAAAATCGCCATTCTGAGTGAAAAAAAACAGAGAAAATCTTATATTGAACTGAAATTTGTAGCCCTTGGTTCTGAAATTAAAATCGCGTCAATCCTTAGAAAAAATCGGTTGTTTAGAACCCGCATCTTCTCAAAATCGTGACTTTCTAAGTGGTGATTTTAAATGGGCATTCGCCAACCGCCGCCAGAAGACTGACATCCTGGTCCACTTTTCAGAGATGAACCAGCTGGCCGTGCGGAAGCTTCGAATTGTTTAAACTTAACGCAGAAAATTTTACTTGTAGCCAGGAGAAGTTTACAGGAGAGTCTGGAAATGTACGATTGTGTCACCACTTTAATGACCCGCAGTATCGAGTAATTTTTGGATTTTTTTAAATGCCACCAGTCCAAACGTCAGCGCCGTCCGGGTCGCATAGCGAGAAACCACTTTCCCTACTGAAAACCCACTCGACAACAACCGGCTGACCATCGACACGAATGCCCCCCGAACAACTTTCGCTGTCCCTTAAAAAATGCCCCTCGGAGGGACGGTACTTGACGGAGGCTAACTAGGCGTGGAAATCCTGATCCGCTTCACAGAGGTCGACCGGCTGGCAACACGGATTCCTCAGATTTTCCCCGGTTCTCTGCATCCTGGCGCAATATAAAATGTCGTAATTTTAGTCAAATGATCGATAGTGATTCCACCGAAATTTTTTTTAAGTTTAGGCTACTATACACAATTATTTTTACTATTGTTTTCAACTATTTTAGGCGATTAATTACTGAAGATTATCATAAAAAGCATAATGAATCCAAATAAAACGCAAAACAGACAACACTTTTATACGGTCTTACATTTACCAACGTTTTCAAAAAAAATTGCGAAATATGGCGCTCGCTTACCATCAATTTAAGGTATCTAAACTTACAAATTCTAACCGAAAATAGCTTATTAAGAATCACTGGTTTTGCAGTTTATTAATATTAAATGGGCTGAAAAATAGCGTATCAAAAACATTTCACCCGATTCGTGAGAAAGTAGATTTTTGGTAATTTTCCGGTTTTCCAGCTTAATATTTTCCAATAAAAACTTAAAAATGTCAAAATAATACTATAAAATACCTGTGTCTCTAAATACCTATATAATCTCTTTCCACAATCAAAATCTATAAACTCTATTACTCATCTATGGAGAAAGGGGTTTGGTCGAAATTCCTCCCCCTTCCCCGACCGATCCCGTACCCTTTTTTCGGTGGTAATTTCAATTTTCCACTCGGCAGTGCCCGGGAAATCCTCGACGGCCGTGGAACCGTCTCGACCCTACACTTGTTTACTATGCACGCATCGGCTCCGGTATCGATTCTTCGATGGAATTTTCTGGCTTAAACCTTCTTAAAGTGTTTCAACCATATATATATATATATATATATATATATATATATACCAGTGGAAAAAGACCGCTTCGCGGCCATTTTCCACTGGACCCTCTCCAGGAACCCTGAACTTGAATACCTTTTTTTTGGCCTGCGGCGCAAGCACCTGAGTCAAGGAGCCCCTGGTTGGCCTGCGGCGCCAGAGCCAGCGTTGCGCTAAAATCTTTGAGCCTGCGGCGCTAGCTACTGGTTTTTCTCCAGGATTCGGCCTGCGGCGCGAGAACCTGGGATAGGGACCTTTTCTTTGGCCTGCGGCGCTAGAGCGCGGGCCAGGCCTAAACCTCGAACACCGAGAGCTCCACCCATTCTTGGCCTGCGGCGCGAGAGCCTGGGCCAAGAACCGTCTCTTTGGCCTGCGGCGCTAGATCGAATCCACCGAGACCTAACCTAAACCTCGCACACCGAGAGCCTAGAAATATGTTTTGTTGCCCAATTGCCAAAAAGCAAAAAGTTGGATCCGGCCAGGATCCGAACTCACGACTACGCGCGCGGCAGACCCGACGCAAATCCACTACACCACCGCGACAATGGGAACGCGCAGCCGGAAAGGCTCTTCTCTCCTGGGGGCGGGGGAGGAGGCACAGAAAACGGCTTCCCTCCCGGATCCCGGGAGGGAGGCCTTCAGGTCCCTGTACAAAATTCGATTTTTGAGCCCGAATCTGCTAAAAATTTGTGAAAATAATAAGCTGCGCGTGATCCCCACCATCAAATCCATAAGTGGTCCAAATTACAGACCGAAATTCCATCTGGGTCTCGAGTTATGCCCCGGACACCACGGCTCGTCGCCCATTTTGTTAAGGACTTTTTAGAAAAATTCCCATAAAAAGTTTATTTTACAAAGTCTGACAAAACCCAAAATTATATATCGGGAGAATTCTATTGCCAATCCGCCCTCCAAAAATTTGAGCTGAATTCCATTTGGATCGCGAGATTTCCTCTGTACAAACCTTTTTTTGACCAAAATGTTAAGGGTTTTTCACTATTTTGCTTGTAAAATCGTTAAATGAAGGAATTTCGAAAAACAAAAAAATGCTTATAAAGAGGATGTGTTTCTGCACCTCCATGCCAAAAATCAGCCGGAAATTCGGCCTGACGGCCGAGAAATCGTCTGCACAGAAAACACACATACTTTTCTCGCTTATAGGATAGGATATATACAGGGTGTCCCAATAAAAAAGGTCACGCTGGCATTATGCTATTTCGAATCCGATCGACCTGAATTTTTGCACAGAGGTGCGAAAGGGAATTCAAAATGTTCACAGAAACTTTCAGCCCGATCGGTACAGTAGTTTTCGAGTTATAGCAAAAATAAACTTTATTTTACGTTTTTAACCTGGATTCCGCCGGAATTGAGCCCTGGAATGTATGGAGAAAATGAAGCGCCGACCCTTTTTTATACTAGAAATTTTTTATTTTGCGAAATTCGGGTCGAAAATAGGCTATTTAAGTATTTTTTTAACAAGGGCTAACGACGCCGATGTTACGCAGAATGAGGATTTAGGGCCAAAATTTATGTTAATTGATGCAAAGTCCAAAAAGATAGCCGAAAAAATGAAGCAAAAGTGTTGAAAAAAACAGTATTTTTGCTATAACTCGAAAACTACTGCACCGATCGGGCTGAAAGTTTCCGTGAACATTCTAAATTCCCTTCCGCGGCTCTGCTCCAAATTTCAGGTCGATCAGATTTGAAATGGCGAAATGCCAGCGTGACCTTTTTTATTGGGACACCCTGTATATACAGGGTGTCCCAAAAAAAACGACCCATCTGGCATTTCGCCGTGTTACATCCAACCGGCCTCAAATTTGGACCAGAGGTGTCTCATACCCCAAATAACAACAATCCTGACTTATAGCCCTGTAGCTATAGTAGTTCTCAAGTTATGGCAAAAACAAACTTTATTTTCCATTTTTCATAGGGTTTTCGTGGAATTAGACCCCCTAAACATTAAGTGAAAATGATCCGGTAGACCTTCTTTACCTTAAAAATTTTTTTCCAGAGTAAAATTAATTAAATAAGCTTTGATTTAAGCGATTTTTATCACGCAAAATGCCCCAGGTTTAAGCGAAATTAGGGATTCACAGCCGGAAGTCGATGCAAATCGATGCAAAGTCCAAAAAGATAGCCGAAAAAACTGTTCAGAATTCCGGGAAAAACAGTATTTTCGATATAACTCGAGAACTATTGTAGCTACGCCGCTAAAAGTCAGGATTGGGGTTATTTCGGGTTTGATACACCTTTGGTCTAATTTGGGACCGATTCGATGTGACACGGCGAAATGCCGGATGGGTCGTTTTTTTTGGGACACCCTGTATATATCGGTTTCTTCTATCTTTATTTATTGTAGTTACTGTTTTATATTTTTCCCTATAATTTTCTAGCCTTTTTGAAAGATTTTTTGCCTCAATATTTGCCCTGTTTTGCGTCAGCTACCGTAGTTCTCGTGTTTTCTAGATGCGCCCAAAACCCTGGTCCCAGCTCGGACTAGCGCTTTTTATCCTGCAGTTGGCTTACGGTAACTTGATCATTTTTTTAATAAGAAAGAGCTATTTCTAAGCTCTACCACCGGGAGTAAGAAGACAAGCCGAAAATCCCGTGGAAGGCGAACCGGAAGTGGAGGAAGAAGCCGAGCCGAGTTTGGATGAGTAAGTTGACGTTGGGCTTAAGTTTTAAATTTTGCTGTCGCTGTCCCTTTAAAAAGCAAAATTTAGACCCACGCCACCCCCAAGAAGGATCACCTGGATGGTGTTGCCCACTACAAGAACTTTCACCGGGTTCCCGGAACCTGAAAAGACGGAAACCTTGCCGATCGGTGGCGAGTCGTTCAGTTTTCAGCCGATGAAAACGTCGAATAACAGGATTACGAGATGTGAGTTTTTATAAGGAAAAATAACGATTTGGTAAATACTGAGAACCTGGAGAAAATAAGCTAAAATACACATTTTGGGGAAGTAGCTTTAGTCGCTAGAATTTTTTATTAAGCGTCGAGCGTTAATAAAATATTAAGGAAAGCTATACTATTTATATCTACTCGAATTTTTAGCGCAAAAATACCTGAAATCTTATGAAAACCCATCATTTAGTCTTCCCGATGCAAGTTCGACCCGTCGTGCGCCAATCATCTACGGATTTCGCCCCTAGCGGCGGCAGCTTCAGCAGCCGCCCAGCGGAAGGCGTTCAACGCTTCCAGCAAAGAAATGGACCGGTTTTCCAAGTATCTAAAATTTCGTCGTTATGATTCCGTTACTTGTCTATGAAAATCTTCCCGTGTTACAGGCCGACTCCAACTTCGAGATGAACGATCCCTCCGGTTTCCGGGGTTCTTCGATATTCCATTCGGAACGCCCACCACCGCTGAGCGGCACTCTGAATACGGCCAAGATTTCGTCTTTTGATGCAGATGAAAATGACCCGAATCCACCGCAGGTATGAGGTTATGTAACTGTCTCGACCTAGGTGACGGAAGGGGTCGTGATCTACATCTGCGGACGGAAGTAAATGTTTCAGGTGCACACCAGCGTCTCCTCGGCGTTCATTCCGAATACCCCTGGGGCTCGTCCTATTCCACTACGCGTCCATACCTTCGAAAAACAGCCTCAAGAAGACCAAGGCGAACAGTTCCCACCTCCAGAAGATGGACAAACTCAACCTGAACACTTCGCCCCTGCTCCTATGACCCGTCCCTCAACATTCAGCACAGATGATACTACCGATACTGATGATGGTGGTGAGGTGAGGATTCTTGCCACTTGTTTTTTGAGAATCCATCTTTAGGACCAAAATAAGAAATCGGAGGAGGAGAGCTCTGGTCCTCCAACAGCTGAGGGACCGGATGGAAAGATTTCGGAGAGCTCTCACGTGGCCGAGCCGGGGAACGGTCATCATCTGCTAGCTGGAGCAGTACAGTCGGATACCTTTGGAAGCTTCCATCGGAGCCCGACATCGAGTGGGTTGTTTTGGGAAGATTTACGTGTGCATGTATGATAGTATCTACTGTTTCGGCTCATAGGCATTAATGATATCTTTCTGCTAGTTTTTTTTTTGCGAAATTCCGGTAGACCAGCTGTTGAAAACATGTTTAGCTATCACAAATGAACTGGTTTTCAGGACGATCAGTATTAGAATTACGTGTTTTTCAAATATTTATCGATAGCTTGCTATTTACCTCATTGGGAAACTTAAAGTTAAACTAAAATATGATAATGTTCAGTTGGTGCCACCACCTTCGACTCAAAGGGTATGGACTCGGCGAAGAAAATGAGCACAGCAGTACACGAGACCCCGGATGCCGATCTGGTTAAACAGACCCAGGAGAGTAGACAGTAAGTCGCGCTTTTGATCAAAAAATGACAACAAACGTTTTAGTATCATTAAGACTTCCTTTTTCAGTCGCGCCGAGGACCAACAAACCTCCAGCTCGTTCATCGACGACACCGAGCTGTCGCACAAGAAATTCGAGAGTCAGGGAAGCCACTCGGCTTGGCATACACACCGATCAAGACATAAGACTGTAAGTTAAAGGTTTCAGCGTATTCGGTAAAGCTACGCGTAAAGTTAAAGGTTCGGAAACCCCGACAATCGAAGCCAGCCCGTGCTAGGTCTCAAGAACTACACAATGCTCCAAATTGCGTATGCAGCTCTCCAGACCTAGCTAACCGAGGACTATAGAAGTGGCATTTACTATATCCCTTAAAATTGGTTACTCATCCTTTAAAAATATTTCCTTGTTCACTACCTTTTTCTGGCTATCAAATTCCACCGCCCCGAACCGGTTTGCGTAGTGGAACGTGCCAGTCAACCTCTTGCCTGACACTATTTTTTGTCGCCACCGATGACTAGCGATGAAATCGAAAAGTGGTTGACTTTCTTGAAAATGAGTGTATCTGACCAGCAAGCGGCTGGACTTCGGGCTACCCCTGCGCTCGCCTCCCCCTCGCCGAAACGCGCGCGACCTGGCTCACTATGTCCAAAATCACCCCAACCTCCGTCCCCCACCACTTTTACTAAAGAAAAACCTGCAAAGTTAAATTTAATAATTTAAACGAAAACTTTTTCGTAATTTTTTCCACAGTTTCGGGGTTTCTGACCACGCTCTATCCGAATCCGAAGAGACCTAAGCTCTAGCTCCTTTCCCCTTCACGGCATTCCACGGAGGCACAGATAGGACCCCCCGGGGCCGCGGCGCAATCGGTTAGCGCCGATCCCAAATCTCAAACAGAGGGTCCGGGTTCGACCCCCGGGACCAACGTGCAACCGCTATTTCTCCCCAAAACCTTTGCCAAGCTTTTGCGTTTTGCTTAAAAACTGTGCTCCAGCCATTGAAAACTGCTAAAACAATAAGGATCTGGAAAAATTAACCCGATCAAAAAAGAGACGGTTGATCCACTGGCGTCCATTTTCGCAAAACAGTCACTTGGAGCCATTTTAAGCGTCGATTTCACGCACTGGGGGGTTATCGACCTTGATTTTACCAAATCTAGGCTCAGATTTCAGCGACAATCCTTGGTTTCTGCGCTATTTAAATCCGCACAAAATCCTGAACTGAACTTCAAAAGACCATCACAAAAAAGTACCAGAATAGATTTTCGATAGTTAGGTCTCAAAATCTGCGCCTTGGCGTCTAGAATATTTAAATCTAATTGAGTTTCTAATTTTTCTATTACATTTCGAGAAAAATCCAGTTTTGTCCAAAAGTTTGTTCATTTTCGAACAAAAACGTAGCGAGCGCGCTGTCCCCTTGTGCAAGGGAGCCTGCCGTAGCCCAAAAGCTATCCGTGCCTGCCTGTTAAAGCCTGGAATGGCGTGCCTTCGAGTTGAATTCGGCTTCAGACAGACACATACTGACGCCTCAAAAAAATTAATATACTTGATACCTGAAAGTCGGAATATAACGGAATATTGTTTATTGAATTGTAGTGAATAACAGCAAAGAAAAGAAAGCCTAAAAGGGAACATGAATGTTGCGAAAAAGTAATGAAGGTTTTTTAGAGTCAGCCCACGGAGGAGACCCAAGTGTTCCGACTCGGAACTGGTAAAGGTAGTACGACAACTTTTGGACGGACCTCCGCGACCACATTCTTGGGCTTGGACACCCCAACGACCGAGGGGAAACGATTCGGAAATAAAAATGGTGCGTTTTTTTAAAGGGTAATGGAAGTCTGAAGATTTTTGATTAGTTTCTAAATTTAGTTTATCTTGTAAAAATGATAGAATTATATAATCTTGAAAGAATGTGCTGAATTGAATAAAAATAAGTAATCAAAACATGTTTCCAGACTTCTCCACCCAGTTCATGGACTTTGACCCAACCCATTTTATGACGAGCCGGAGCGCCCGGTGGAGGCGTAGTATTAACGTGATGGAGTCGGGTAGGCAAAGAGCGGCAGAAATTTGGAATACTGTTTTTAGAAGATAACGACAAGAAGCCGTTAATCCATCTGCCTCCCTTTTCGGATATCCCAGTTTTAGGTAGGTCCTCACTCACTGGTTGTGCCCGCACTCCCTCTCTCTCTCTATCTCTCTTGCTCTCTCTATCTCTCTAGCTTTCTCTCTCTCTCTCTCTCTCTCGCTCTCTCTATCTCTCTATCTCTCTCTTTCTCGCTCCTGATACAATATTTTTAGCCAATGAACCCGTCGAAATCGTGCCTCGTCTCCCGCAAATGAGCACCATCATGCCACTCCTCCAGCCCAAGCCACCCGTTGCGGAACCAGGTATTTGGATTAAACCAACATTTTTTAAGACTTGAAAGTTTATTTAAAGGGCACGTTCAGGGACGTTTTTTGGAAAAAAGCAAAGATTTTTCCCGCGGCCGGGGGTCGAACCCGGGCCACCCGCTCGGGAGGCCGGACGCATACCAGTCAGCCACGAATGGCCCGCCACGGCACAAGCAGGCAGGCAGGCCGTGCGCGCGGTCCCTACGTCCATAGGGTGTATACGTTGGGACGAGTATACGGCCCCTCCGTGAACGTGCGCTTTAGTGATCTTGGACAAATTGAAAGATAAAATACAGCTATTTAGTATGTCGAGATCTGCTCGTCCTCTTCGATACAACTGGCACCAGCCCGCTGGTCTTCAAAAGAAACCGAAATCTCGTCAAGCAAATCGTCAATTCGGCCATATTGCCCTGGCAGAAAGTGGTAGGTGAAGTATCGGAATTTGACATCCTTTTTAGGCTTCTTTGATTGCGTTCTCGACGATTGACAAGACAAAAGCTGTCGCCAAGTTTGAGGAGCGGCTCGACAATTGGGGTTTTATGAGGCGAATCGAGGGTAAGTAACTTTGAATTTATTTCAAGGCCAAGGTAACTTATTTTTTTAAAAAGTTACCAGGTTAAACTTGGAACAGTAAAGATTGCTAAAAATTGTGATAAATAAGCAAAAAAAAGCAAAAAATGAAAGAAATTGGTGTGATTTTCAGAAATCGATTATTTTGGTGGAGTTGGAGACGTGGCTAATGCTCTCAAGATGGCAAACGATCTAATTGCCAAGAATTCGATGCCAGTGGATGTAATTTTTGTGTCTGATGGCTACAGGTAGGTTCTAAAGTTTTAAAACCATTACATTTTGCCCAAAACCCAACAATATTGGGGAAATTCTGCTGATTTACATATCGTAACACAATGAATTGCTGTCAGACTCCGTTTCAAGCTTCAGGTTAATTTTCCGATTTCAGCTCTGAAAACTACACGGATCCACTCCAGAAAATGCTGGCAAATGACGCGAATCGTTTCTTCGTCCTGGCGCCGAATCATAAAAAAGTCTCCAGGTAGGGCTAACAGCCTGTAACTTTCAAAAAAAAAAAATCGATTTTCAGCCAACTCTCCATCCTCGTAAACTCTCAGAACATCTACAACAAGTTCGAAAACCTTGTCGGCTTGCGTGATAACTTGGCTTGCTAAAAATTCTGCCCACTAGACACTAATTTTCCAATTATTTCGTCGGTAAACGTTTGTTGCCACTTGACACCTATTGACGTGAATGTGTAATGCAAGTGCCACTTTTGTACATAGTTCTGTGCGGGAAATTGAATAAAGCTTTTCTTACGTAATAAATGTAAAATAGGTACAATACATCTTTACAAAAAATATTTATTTAGATTATTAAATTCCGCATCTGTACGGCCCAAAACTGACCGTCCTGCTCGAGGCCGCCCTGGGCGCTCGCGAACCTCTGGATGTAGGTGTTCATTTCTGAAAAAAGAACTTTAAGGAGACGGAGGAAGAGAACGACATAGAGAGAGAGAGGGAAAGTGCGAGAGAGAGAGAGAGCGGGAGAGACCCACCTCCCCATTCCGGAAGCTGCTCGGCCAACTCGCCAATAACATAGCTTCGCTCTTCCAAGAAAATCGGGAACAGCTCAAGGGCTACGGTAAGTTCCGCTAGATTCCTGGCGCCGACGTACAGGATATGAAATGACGCCCCGGAGCACTCGATCACCCGGTCGCCATGCTGAAAAGGGAATTCCCGAATTGGCTCTGCTAGGTAGCCCTGGGTCGTCACTAAATAGAAAACTTACAGCAGGCGGTAGTCGTATAGGGAATACTGTATTTAATAAATTATGCGATTTCAGCTCCATGATATAGTCTTCATAGCCGCTGGAAAAATCCACGTGGAAATCATTAGGATAGTTATTCAAGCAAAGTTTAAAGGCTTTTAAATTATACGTATTTTTAAGTCATTCAACAAAGTCTGAGAAAGCCCTATAACCAAAGATATTCCTCTGCAGAATTTCAAAAAGGGTTAAGCTATGAACAAAATCCAAATATTTCCGCTGCCTTCCGATACTTACTCATAGATCTCAACCCGTTTTAACGTTCCATTTTTCGAAATATACGGCTCCGACATCCAGCTGGAAATGGGGATCAGATGGAACGTTTTCTCCCTCGCAAATTTCTAGATTGATGCTGAAAATACGCTCCAAGAAGTGTTCAACTACTTGCGCCGTCTCCATAAGTCTCACAGTACTCGCCGCGCTTCTCGGGTTTAACTCCAAGATTCGGGGCAACGGATTTCGATTGGCTACCTCAATTTGTATAAAATTATCTGGTTGTATTACGACAATATTGACTTTGATGCTAAATCAAAATTATTAGGCAAGGGCTGACCTGCCTCAACGGTGGGCAGCAGCGACAGGGCCCTGGCCTCATCAATCGCCAGGTCGGCATGCCCATCCGCGCCCTTTGGCCATTTTGGCTTGTTGATCACCGAAATCGCGTCCAGAAATTCTTGCCAAGATGCCATTAGTGTGCCTGTCGAGCCGGAGGCCTAAAAAAATCAAAAAGCTTTTTAAGGGACCAAGAAGCGCTAGCGTTGATCCTTTAATGCTAGCTAGGTCTCGCCCGCTACGGGAAAAATCAAATGACGGGTGCGGTCTTAATTCGTAGCTAGTAGTTAATCGTTTTTAGGAGCTTTGCGTAGCTAGCAGAAGGGTCTTAACCTTCACGCCGCCTTTAAAGTCCCAAAACCTACCAGCAAATATCCGCATGTCGTTGCGCGACTATCCATCGTGATTTGTGCTTTGGCAATAGGGTCTTCAATTTCCACACAAGGTTCTATTAACTAAATTCTTCAATTAAAAAAATTATAAAAACAGACAGTAAAATTCAGCGGTTTTAATACGCGCATCACCCTACCTCATAATACAAAAATGCAGCTCCAAAAACGCCGACAATCGTAAAAGCCAAAATTGACCCCAGCCACTGCCAGTACTTCTCCATTTATGAAAATTCTTTCAGTTTCGACAACCAATTTTTAATAGTAATGGTTAATAGGACTTTTAGGGAGGATCTAGCTGGTTTTATAGATTTGGCGAAATTAACAGAATTTTCGGCAAGCAAGGTGACGAAAAATCGATGAGCCGATGGTTGCGTGCCAAAAGCCGGCACGCAACCGTCGGCTCATGGCAATTAGCACCTTTTTTGGTTTGAACTTTGAGCAACAAAACTCATCCAATCATCGGTTCAAAGAACTTTCAAAACATAGCATGTTGTTCATTTTTTTCGCGTCGTCATAAATATTTCTCTTTCGCCAAATGCATCTTTCTTCAGGCCCTTAAAGCGCTTTATGTATTCTTTATTCCCTCGGTGTCGTCAAGTCGCAGTCATTCCCATTTTTATTCATAGAAGCATTAAATCCAGATATACACAACCAACACAACATTAAACAAAACACAATTTTCAGAAGAACAGGATAAGGCCGAGGGGGATGAGCAGCCAGATGAAGGTGTAGCGAAGCTTCGAAGAGTTCTTCGGAAGTCCATGTCTCGGGCCCTCCGTTGTTTCCCTCTTGTTGCAGTAATCCGTGTGGCACACCAGGCAACTGAAAAATTCCATAACGTCAGAGCGGAGAAAGAGAGAGAGAGAGAGAGAGACAAAGCCGAGAGAGCGACAAAGGAGAAGACAAAGCGAGTGTCAGGATACAGAGCGAGCTGGAGAGAGATGGACGAGAGAGAGGACAGAGAGAGAGAGAGCCGCGCAAAGCGGATAGAGATAGAGAGAGCGGGTGAGCGAGAGAGACAGAGTGAGAGATATATCAAAATCCCTTACCTTACCACTTTAGAATCCTTTTGCTCTTCCTTACACTGCATGTCGGCGCATCCAGCTTCCCGCTTTACCAATTGCCCTAGAACTGAATTTCATATGCGCAAATTTTTCTTCCCACCTATAATTCGCTGCTCGCGCCGATAGCAAGCGTCTCCCTCGCACGGGGGATGGCAGGGCTCCGGTTCGCAGATACAGACGACTTTCGCGTCTGGAAATAGAAACTGTGTTTTTGAAAGGATCCCCATCGGTTTTTTGGGGTTTTTTGCATCATCAGGGGCTAAGTTTTCCATGCGGCCGAAAAATTAAAACAGCCTTGTCGGTGTTTGGAATACCTTTTGAATGGTCGGAAGGCAAAAGTCTAGGAAACCCCAGCCGACTTTCCACTTTTCTACCGTCCTTATTTTTGCTACTTTACTCAAATGCAATGCATTCTTACCAATTAGCCTACTAGAGATTTGATATACTTTAGAGCTCCCACACGAAGGGGGCCGAGATACAAAAGATGGTGGCGGCTGGGGGGTCCTAGACTCTTACCGATGGGAAGGCAGAAGATGAGCAGCAAGAAGATCGACATCCCCATCGCATGCGGCATCGCGTAGGTAGATGAACACCAAGATGGGCCGGGAGGTTGGTAGATGACGATGGGTGGAAGTGGGGATTCGGTTGGAATCGAAAATGACACGATTTTGATGCGGATGTGGTTTTTTACCTCGAAATGTATGCAAATAGCGCCAACCTAATCTGTATTCAAATTTTAAAAATGCAAAAAAATAGCCAAATAGCTCTCTGTCTCTTTCTTTCGCTCTGTTTCCCTCTCACTCTCTCTCAATCGCTTTACGAATGAAAATAAGGTCTCGTTTTGTTGTTTACGTCCATGTAATAATTAATTTTATTCAAAAACAATCTAAAAGCGCAAAAAACAAAGATTCTAGCCCGACTACACGACTGTACAGGGTACACGTTGGGGTGGGGTACTCAAAAAACTCGCTGAGCAACGAAAAGTATCAGGGTATAGGGTACAATCAGACAAAAATCACAGCGGCAGAGAAATAGACGAGAGAGAGCGAGAGAGAGAGAGAGAGAGAGAGAGAGAAAGTAAGTGAATTTCAAGAATATAATATTATAATGCTAGCTTAAATTAGATTCATCGACATAAAGAAGAGATTGCTCGATTCACAACCCGGAAATGCTTTGAAGTGACTTGGTGTGGAACGGGGTGATTTTCGATTGGATTTTTCAGGACCATAAAGGCCGGAAATCCATCGGAAAAGCCGGAATTAGCAGCCATTTTTTACCGAGATGGCGATCTAATCAAATTGCATAAAAGACACATCACAACCCGAGGTTTGTACAAAAAGCTGATCAATTGTAAGATTCGTGGATCGGTGTGGGGGGGGGCAAACATAGAAAGGTTCTTTGCGGAATCGAGATATGTATAGGGACATTGAGGTTATACGGATCTTAACAGTTTCACCGTCTCAAAAACAGGACTGCAAAAGCTGGTAGTAGAAGCGAGAGCCACCATCTTGCAGCTGGAGAAGAGTTGCACTTTTCAGTTTGGCATAGGCACATCCTGAAAAAGTAATAAATCGATATTTAATTGGTCCAATTCGTTTTTATATTAAAGGAGCAAGCAAGGCATGACTCTGGATTTTTGGGCGCTAGAACTGACTTGGATTTGCATTGCGTAACCCATTACGACACCTTGAGCACCGTATAGGGGTGCTGGCGTATCGAGACTAGATTAGGATCCAGAAAAATATACATAATCAGCGAAAATCCAAAGCTTTTCGCATGAATTTTGCCGCACCGCGACACGCACCGCGACACGCAACGCGTAATTTCCGCAGAAATAGGCTGGTAATCGATTGCTCAATAGAAAGAGGTTGTAAACCGGCAACCCATAAGCCAACAAGAGGCCTATTTTTGCCTTGTACGCCCCTTTAATACAAATACGACAAGAACTACTTACGTCTCTGACTTCTTCGTACTCGACCCGGGAAGTGAAGAGCCCTGCGTCTGGCAAATCCCATCGTCGCCCACCTCTAGTCCGGCGTCGGTGGAATTCGTGCATCCGCTCTTCACCTTCGGGATTTTGCCTGAAAATACAAAAATTTTATTGATTAAAAGCCGTGTATAATGGTGTTGTGGAAAATTCGGGATATTTGGTTATGTGACCTATAGCCATTCCATGAAATCCCAAAGAGAAAACGTGCTAGAAAAATTGAATAGCAAGAAAAGTGCACGGCAGCTTTTTAAAGGTGTCGGGAAGTCATGAAAAAAAACGTTTTTCGCACCCAAGAAACATATTTAAGCAGCAAGAATCTTGGGTCAAATTCTAGCAGTGTTAAAATA